CAGAGCCTGTCGAGATCGGTGGTAGCAGCAAGTTGAGGACGTCGCTTGGAATGCTGGCAGAGAAGTACTGGCCGCCTTGCTCGATGATGACTTTGGTCGAGTGGAATACCCAGTCGCCATCCTTCTCCACGAAGGCTTCGCTGGACTCATAGATTCGCAAACTCTGATCTGGGGCACTATGTCAGTGAATTTCTCTGAAATATCAATCGCGGACTTGGTTACCGGACGCCATCTCGGGAGATTTCGATGCTTGCTGATTTAGACGGTGAGGTGAACTGCCAAGGTTTGAAACATCACCAGACACTTCTAGGAGCCTAACTCTCACGTGACCATATGCGCTAATCCACATCCACTGCCAAACCACCATCCGCACCAGCGCAACAGCGCTCTCATCCCCCCCTCAGCGACCGTCCCAGACAAACATGATATCGCGGCTTACCCAAGCATTGCGAGACCTCCTTCTTGACATTCCGAACCAGGTTTCCAGGAGAAAGGGTCCCGAAAGATGCTGACATAGACAAGCTGGGAGACTGCTCCACAACAACGACATGATACGGACGTACGATCCAACCCGAAGCACTTTAGCGCGCTTGAAGCACCCAAAATCGAGTCAGCCAGTCGAAAAGATCCACCACAAATATGCAAGAGCTTGAACAATAAGCTGTCAACTCATCGATAGCGGGTTCGACATACAGTGGCGGCGTTCCTCAACATGGACTTCGAGAGTGTAGATGTGTCCCTGCGTTGGCAGGCGATCGAAGGACGTCGGCTGAACGTACAAGATTAATCATAAGATTGCGAAGGAGCGGAATTTGATATTCGAGACGACTTTTCCGTGAATGGTCAGAGTATCCCTCGTATAATCTCGTCATTGTTGGTGACAGTGGGTGTGCTAGAAGCGTCAGCATTCAGGAGAAGGCTTGGACCCCTCGCGGGGTCCAACCATTTCCAAAGAAGAGCCTGCGTCGTGGCATCTAGCGGTACCTAATCCTTCCGGCGTATACTCAAAGTGACAGAGTTGACGGATAGCACAGTCTCGCGAAGCTTTATAAAGGAACTCTAGGCAACATTTGCCACACTACGGAAGGTGGCCGGAGCCGAACTATGTGCTGATTATCCGGATGGAGAGAGTATGGTAAGTGTATGGAGCCGCGGGAGTAATTATCCTGATGCAATCGATCTCGCCTGATATCAACCCTATTGAAGAATTTGCCGGTGACTTGAGAGCCATATCCGTTAAGTCTGGCGCGAGCATGGGGCCCCACGAGATTTGACTTGAGCTTCTTCCTAGGAGAGGTTTGTTGATGCTGTCTTGGCATAGGAAACCGAGGACGTAACCCCGGCCGCTGACGAGAAGGGTCAGGACACAAACGCCTCGGAACCACCCGCCGATATGGCCTCTTCTTCTGGACACTCCCAATCGTCAACACCGTTGAGCTCGCCTCCGGATTCTCCCCTCACCCCAGTTTTGACTGCTAATAACTCGCGGATTCTTCGCTTGTCAAAGCCCGGCGTCTGTGAGCCTACTGGCAGGACGGGCACACAAAGCCCCAACGACGCCGACTGCCTGCATAGTACGGATGCACCGGCAATCTTGCGACTCCGCCAGCGAAACGGCAATGCAAGCCACCACGAAACGCCGCCTCGGAGCTCCAAACTAGCAAACCGTCGGCTCGAACCCCTCCACATTGCGCGCCCGGAGAAGCGATGCTGTCCGTCTAGCATACCACTGATGATCCTGGCGTATCTGGACAAGTCAGATGGCCGTGTGGTTGGGCAGATGCTTCCCCCATTCATGTTGGTTGGCGTCCCCTACTGTACTAATGCCCTGATGTATCAGGTCCAGATACACGAAATTGTGGCCCGTGCATCACCAAAAGTCTGTCTCCTGCCCCCCTATGCCATCGTCCAGATGTATTAGGTCCAGATACACGCTCTCTAGAACAAAAGGGTTTAAATAGCCGTGTGCTGCGCGAGCTTGGCTGGGTGGACGCGAGGACGGAGCGGGATGACCCGCGGAAGTCGGACCTGACAATTCGATCGCGTGAGTCTCCCCCGTCTGATCTGCGGAGGCTCAAGACGGCGATCAAGTTGCCGGCGCGGTTCATTGGCATGGTATTCGGGATGACGATCCAATCCGGGTGGAGCGCTGTAACCGTTTGATCCGGAGGGAGGCGGCAGCGTAATTGTATCTAGTCTTTTCCTCCGTATAAGGCACTTTGGTTAACGAATTCGCTTCGATTCACTTCGTATCTCCCGTCGGTAAGGTGGTCGACTTTCATACTCATTCCTATCCTCTACTTCCCGTATTATCACAGGCAGGGGATCCTATTCATGGCCGGTCCCAGCAGCGCTAGGTAGACGATCGGTATTATTTCACGGTATTTTAGCAGGGGCGGGTGGTGGTTGGTTTCCAAGATTAGTTGTGAATGTCGAAAGGGTCCAGGTTACTTGCCACCAAATTTGTCGCTAGTGATGGTCACGAGCATGATGTTGTTCCTCCCGTCACGATCCATTGCCTATCATATCGAGGTTCCAACTTGAGCAGCTCCAGGATGCATTCGGAGGCGAAAGGGGTGCGGGGCCGAGTAGAGTTCCGGGTGCCGCCTGACAACGTTCTTAGCCCAGTGCTTTCGCACGGGGATCGGCCGCGTTGTGCGAGGATGCGATTCGCCCTCTCTGTTATAGCATCAAACGGCGGCGTAAAGCCTCTGGCGTATACGTCGGCGAAATGGCTGACGATAGTCTTTCTTTTCTGTGGTCGCTCTGTCGATTTTCGTCCGGGTGCGGGGTTCGCGCGGCGGATGCCCGGTGCGCCTAGCGGTCGTTGCCCCGGAGGATTACGGCAGCTTCGAAGAGCGGGTTGAAACCATTGAATTACGAGGGGTTGCACCCGTTCTTTCCTTGCCTCTAGTCGAACGTAACCACCCTGTCCTCCTAGGTACGTGACTGTTGGACCCCAGAACGACTGTGAGGAATTGGTGAGATAGCAATGGCAAGGGGATACGAGGCGGGCGCGATGACGAGGCGGTAACCCAAGACAGAATGAGTGGATCCCACCTGGGCTTGTCTCGTCATGGTTGGCTGCGACGTTTCTTCTCCAACCCCCGCGACAAGACGGGAATCATGGATACCAGCGACGCCTATCGACAGGCGCTGGAACGATCGACGACGCTTGATACTCCAACGGAATGGGCAGATGAAAGTCACGATGTTCCAGTGGCGCGTGGTATCAACCGGGCTGGTTGCGAGCAATGGCTCCGTGACATGTGTTTCCCCGCCGACGACGCGACGTGGAATCGCATCAAGATGAAATGGATCAGTTTTCTGTCCGCAACAAGCATGATGCCCGATGTGGCACTGGCGCCGAACCGCAAAGCCGTTCAATTCACCTCTGGTGATGGGCGCCTTGTCGACAGCATAGAAAAAAGGTTCTCCACAGACCGCTTCCACCGAAAGGTCGTGCAGGCGTCCTTTTGGGCAGACTCGGGCTTGGAAGGCCTAGAGGCGCTCGCAGAGCGGTGGCCAGGGATCGCGTGGACGGCGCTCAATGCCGCAGACGAGGGGAGGAGAGGCCAGGAGTTCCAGACACTGGCGGCGATCTGGGATCTGGGAAGGCGTCGACGGTACCAGGCGTGTGACGAGCATGTGGGTTTCCTACTGTATTGCCACGAGGATGGTGCTCTTCATGACCTAGGCCTACAGCTGGACCAAGACCAACAAGACGATCTTATCGACCTGGAGCAGGGGGTGTCCGTGTCCATGATGGAGCAGAGAACTCTGCGATGGAATAAGCCCAGTGCTCTTGACGGGGTCTGGGCCGTAACGGAACAGCTCCTAGTGAAAGCCATGAACAGGAGAGGGTCGACGGCGCAAAACAACCCGCTGCTGTGGTGGGTAGCGATCATGACCAAGTCGGCACTGGAAGGCGGTACCGACTTCATCAGCAGCGGCAGGTTCAACATGAACCCAATGCCCATGGACCTGGACCTCCGTGGCCGAGCAGAGGCATTGGTACACTACGGCAAGATCTTGATGCTGAATACTGCATTTATTTCGTGGAATCCGGACCGGGATTCATTTGCGGAGGTCGAAGGGGACTTGAATCTAGTCGACAACGAGTGGCTGAACGTGGAGGTATCTCATCATCTCGACGTATCCCCTATTCTCAAGGTCCGTAATATAATGTACAGCTATACTCACAAGCTCTCAAGAAAGCAGCCGTGTACCAGACGTGGATGAGCGTGAGCGCATCCCGAACAGTCTCGGAGTCCTCCCCCAGCCCATCACTCGACGGGTCAGGCGGCGGACTCTCCCGTGGATAAAAAAGCCACGCCCGAATCTCGCCTGTTCGCGCCATTCATGGTTCCGTTACGTCGAGCGTTCCTCCGAGCCCCTCTCCGGGACACTTCTTCGCTGGCGTCTTTCACGTCCTCCCGCGTCAAGGCGTAACCCGGGTGTACGAGATCGAAATCATCCTCCACACGTGCAAGGAATGCCGGCCATACGGTTCCGATCACGTCGTCTGACGCCCCGAGCGGGACAGACGGCTGGCTAGATGCAACGGAGGGCCGAGGCTGGGTGCGTCCGTCCTCCTGTACTGTAATGGACGGGAGCCGCCGCCATTCTTCCGGAACTTCGAGAGATAGGCTTGGATCCACTCTCTGTCGCGTCCTCTGTACGATTTGCCATGTCTCGCGGAGGAGGTCCGTGAGACAACGCATCGCCTCGTGGAACTGGTCACTTCGGTCTGCGGGAATCCAATGTTGTACTGCTGCGGCGACCTCACGAACAACAAGAGCAGAGCGAGACGACGCCGGGTCATGCTTCCCTGACGCGGTCGCTTTCAAGAGAACGGCTCGGATAAAAGCACCATGGCCAGAATGGCTCTTGCCCAGTTCTTCCAGCGCACGGTCTAGCTCCTCGCCCTGGTGAAGGAAGTACGTCGGCCTGAAAATATGTTTGACGAGCGCGTCTGCGAGTACGACCAGCGCAGCGAAAACCCGCATACGCTTGGCGGCGGGGGTGTTGGTCGGGGGAAGAGGAATGGCAGTGCGTCGGATTGCCTGATGGTCTCGGATGCCGGCCCACGCCGCGCCGTCCTCTAGACAGCTCTCAGGAAGGTCGGCTGTGAGCTCGGCGCCTAGGAAGTCTAGGACGCCACGGAAGGCGGAGTTGAGGCCCTGGCAGCTGTATTGCGATGTGAGTATATCGGAGAAACTAAAGGGTGCAGCTATGTCGCGTGTCTGGACCTACATCTGGACCCGGTTGACTTCAAGACTAGGCATCTTGGTGATATGGGAGCGAACTGCAGCGAGCTCGTTCTGCGCCTTTCGCAATTCCTCCGACTTCTTCACGAGGTCGGACTGCAGAGATGACAAGTTTGCATTCAGGGCCTTTTCCCGCCCTTCTAGCAAAGAGACCTTCTCCTTCAATTCTTTGTTCTTCGCCTTCAGATTCAGGTTGTCCTTCTCATGGGCTTTGGCCGTCTCGGTCACTCGGAGGACCTTTTGCTCCCAGTCCCAGACCTGCGCGCAGAGATTCCCGACCTTTGTCTCCTCGCTTTCTTTCGCGTTTTCGGCAGCGACCCTCTCACGCTCCGCCGTGGCAAGGCGGGCTTCGAGAGCCCGGACTGCCTCAGTGTGTTCTCGCTTCTCCTTCTCCTGCTCTATTCCGCGTAGAGACAGTTCGTTAAGATTCGTCTTGTACGCAACGTGGAGTTCGGTTAGTTCGCGCTCTTGCGCTTCATGCCTGTGCGCCAACTCCTTGACTCGCTGATATCCACCCCGAGATTTAAGTGCGGCAATGAAGGCGAAAAAGTAGTCCACATCCCTCTCTGTGTCAGATGTCGAGGGCGAAGGGGTCGCTTTGGGGGATTGAGGCATTAGGGCAACGGACGGCGCCATGATCAGGTCGATGCGTTGGAGGGTGACTGCGACGCGGAGCTCGGCTTATCAGGGTGAATGGATAGATATGAACATGGCTTATCTACTGCAAGAACGAGAAGTTAGTCGGTCGTCGGAGGTCTAGCTGGACGAGGCGGTTGGTTCCATGCACATCAAGACACGCGTGACTTGCGAAAGTGCTTGGCGCTATAGCTGATACGACTCCATACCGGCCGGCAGGCTACACCAGCGAGTGCAAGGCGGACCAACGACAGGACCACGCACGACGTGGTCGCAGAAAAGTGACCTACACTATTAGGTTGACGAAAGGTGTAGGAACGATTGGCTATGGGTGGCTCCCTCGGAGGAACCCCCCGCGCCAGGGCAGCCTCGTCACGTTTCTGCAATGCATGTGGAGGATACCATGTAGGTAGCTGCTAAACAGCCCGGAAACCTCGCGTTCCCTGATGTTAAACCAACTATCTCCCTGCGTCTAGGCTGTGCTAGGTCTCCGTATTGTTCCGACCAGCCAAGAAGGAACATTGACATCCAGAGAGGCCTTGAATCGACTATCACCCGCGAGGTAAAGCCGGTCTCAAGACAGCCTAGGAGACTTTCATTAGGAGCACTGATGGGAGTGGGATTTCCTGCCTGAGAGCATCGCGGCTCCAAATGGACGTAAGCTAGGGCACTGCCAGGGAACGAAACGACGAAGCCACGAGGGGACCCCTCGACCTCTGGGAGACTACGTTCCAGCCTCCTAGTGCGACCATATCGCTGGCTGCGAGCAAGTACGGGTAGTCCAACTAATTTGTATCGTCGACCGTCCGGTGAAGGTGCTATTACGCCCATCGGGAGAGAGAGAATGGTTCCACGCCAAGACGCGACGATATCAATTTCCTAATGCACAGAATATGAAGTTAACAGACACACACAGAAAGCCTGCTTCATATTGCATTCCGCCAGCGAGCCCCTAAGGAGAGTCGCGTGCCATGACTTCCATCATTCGTCGCTCCTCCTCAAATTGCCGCAATTGGTCTGCTGTGGTGATCAAAACCCCAGTATCCTCATCGGAGTCACCAGTGAAGGGGCATGTAAGTATTTTGCACTCCCCAGTCGATGCCTCTGCGTCTTCATGCCCACATACTCGCCGATCTTCGATCTCTGTCCGCGAGACTACCTGGCCGTGGGCATCTCTCGAGACGTATTTCACTTCGATGGCTGTGTGTAAGACACCAATCAAAGCAGAATGGAGCGAAGCACAGCTTGGTACAAGTTGCGGACTTGCAAAGCTCCCTAGGGCTTGCATCTCATTAGCAAGAACAAACGACGTTGTGATGGGGCTTTGATCTACCACTGAAAGCGCTCGCCATAGGCTTCCATATCGTCCAACGCTGCTTCTAGATCCCTACAGTCTGATCTTTATCGAAACGGCGCGCCATGATATCGACTTGGTAGTAGTGTAGATAATGAATCGTCAACATGATCTGCAGGGGAGGATTCCTCGCGATGTGATTACCCCGTACAGTCCGGGTGCCGGCCGGCCGGTAGAGTGAGGTGATCGCTGGCGCACTCGCGTTGGCGAAGACACCGAAGTTGAGGAGTTTTGCGACTGGTTTGGGATGAGGGTCTCCTGGGGGTTGACGGATGCGACCAACCTGTGCAAGGTCTGGCAGTGAGTGTTACTATAATGTCTTTTGTTGAGCGAGCTTCGGAGAGGAGAGGTTCTCTCCGCTGAATAGACTTCGAGGTGAGGACCAGAAGAAGGGGAGAACAGACCAACAACATCGGACCGGTGCACAGCTGAAAGCAAACTCAACCAGACTGGAGAGACGAGTCCGACGAGAAGAGCATCCTGCATGCATGCGCGCTCCCACTAAGCCGCAAGGGACATCATGGCCATGCACGATGGACGCAGACACGGGTTGGCTATCTGTTTGTGGGTGCGTCATGCTTCGTACTTTGCCGGACTGTCCTGTCAATCAAGTCGCCACCTCCATCGTTGTGGCCTCAAGATTCAAGGACCCCCCCCTCTATCTCTTCCTCTCTCTCCCTCTCTTGCCGGAGATCGGTCGTCTATTATGATGTTCGTGCCTAACGCCGCAGACTGTCAGGTCCTGATCACGGGTATGGACATCCGATAACGAAAGAATTATGTACTAATTGTATAGAGAACCTCCGAGCGCCTGTATCCAGGTATGCAGTATGCATACGGCCATTATAACATACCGAACCTAAGGCCCTTATGGTGGGGTTAAGGCTTGCGTAGTTGCCTCCCCTTCCTTCGCCACCACAGTCTGTCTCCCCCTTCAGACTATTATAAGAAAGACGTACTTATTTGATGTTCTACAGGATGCAATAACGAATTCTATTCATTGAACGAAGTGCTCCTTCAAACCCAGTAGCTTTTGGGAAAGGAGCTAGGGGGGCTAGATAGTACCGAGGGCGACGCGTCGGTGAAATAGAGAGGAAATGGCGTTTAGATACTTCCTCCTCATGCTTAGCTACGGTCAATCTTGTTTTCAATTGAAGGTGTTCTCCTCTCGAGGGCCTGCAACTGTACCAATTGTTTCCCGAATCACGCCCTGATTTGTTTGGCAAGGCTCTTCCAGAGGTGCGGGGTCGAAGCTGGCTGGTGTCAAAAATGCTGCCTCGGCAATCTGAAACAGAACTGGTCCGTGCATATCGTCATTTTGTCTGACCAATAACAAACGAGGGTCGCCCCTAGCAACGTGATTCTCGCTTGTTCAACACTGTTTTTCAGACCCATCGCGCAGTTTCTGTCTATTTTCCATCGAACGAACAACGACAGCGATATCTCATGGCCCAACAGAGGAGCGTAGAGGAGCTACAGAAGCTCCTGGACGAGGCTTTGCAGCGCGCCGAAGAAGCAGAGATAGGACGACAGGCAGAGCGACAACGCGCCGAGGACGAGCGACAACGCGCCGAGGCTTCGGAGGAACAAACACGATTTACAACACTACACGAATACATCGCAGCCTGCCATGCATCTGTTTTCTCCCGGTTTGTCATCGAAACTGATCCAAAATTGACCTCGAGGGGCTCCATCACAAATCCCCGTGACAAGTGGTGTCCTGCAAATCTGCGGCCATGGTCCGACTTCATTGATCAACAGAAGCTCACTTTCGGTACACTCTACGATTCCTTTCCTACCGACCGCCGCGTTTTCGAGAACCGAAATTTCCTGGACGTCTTGGGCAACAGGGTCTCTCAACGGCCGATAGCAGACGAGAAGACGCTCGAATATTTCCTGCATAATAGCGTGGAGGATCCGGTCAGGGCCATCATTCATCAACTCAAAATGGTGGAAGAGGTCAGCAGGGCATTTCAGATTGGAGATGGTGTTGTCTTTGACAACCATCCCTATGCCCTCAGCGATGTCGCCGAAGAAGTCGTCGATAGGGAGACCCAGTCGACGCGACCACGGACACCAGACCACCGAGGTGATCTCAATCAGCTGCGACCGGATCAAATATGCGTGTATCGATCCGACAATGCCCTGTCTTCCCTGCGCACTATGGTGTACATATCCGAATATAAGCCGCCCCACAAGCTAACGGCGCCACATCTTCGTCTCGGACTCCGCGCTATGGACATCTACAAGGAAGTTGTAAATCGAAAGACGATTCCAACTTCTGCAGACCCCGACGCGCGTTTCCAGTATCACGCGGAGAGGCTGACGGCATCTGCAATCACGCAGACGTATCATTACATGATTGAAAGTGGCCTTGACTACGGTCTTCTGACGACTGGCGAGGCCATCGTATTTCTGAAAATTGACTGGGATCAGCCCGAAACGCTGTACTATCATCTAGCGGAACCTGGTCCGGAGTCTCAGCCCATCCAAACAACCTGCCAATCTGTACGGCTGTCGGTCAATATCTGGCGTTCACCCTCATGGCTCTTGGTTCGCCTGGACAACAACGGACGCATGGGCAGGAGGAACGTCGGAGAGCGATGGAGCACTTGAAGACGTGGGCTGAGGACTTCGAAACGACATTGCGTTCCATCCCGGAAAATGAACGATCGGCATCATCGGACGACTCACCTGGTTATGAACCTACCACCTACAAAGGCGTTGATCGGTCACCGGCCTTGCCCCGCAGAAGGAGACGTCGAGGTGCTGAGACTCAGGTTGGCGAGAAGTCGCTGACGAAGGACAATAGGCGGGAACCATCTGATGACGAGTCGGCACCCAAGCCACCGGACACGCCTACGCCCAGCGGACGAAATGCAAGACCAGGAACTAGGCGGAGTCAGCGGCTGGCGCCACGGCCGCGCGGAGGAGGCGGCGAGCAGGATCGGCAGTACTGTACGCAGAAATGCCTTCTCGCGATGGTCAGAGGTGGTTTTCTCGACTTACATTGCCCGAACGTGGCACTTCACCACAAGAGCTGTGTCTCCGCCCGCGCACGTCATCCTGTCGATCATGTGGAATGGCTTCGCCTACTGCGGAAGCAGCTAGAACAGTCTCTTGACGACGGGATCAAGCCATTAGGGGAGGGTGGCGCACGGGGCGTGCTTTTTCAAGTGACTTTACTTGCCCACGGCTACACCTTTGTCAGCAAGGGCACCGTGCCGGCTTTCATCACAGATCTCGAGCACGAGGCTTCGGTTTACGACCGTCTCAAGTCTATTCAAGGCGCCAACGTGCCTGTATTCCTGGGTGCTATCGACCTCCGATCGATGAACAAGACTTACTACTACGACCATCGGGTCTACGTGGTGCATATGACATTTTTGTCATGGGGAGGTTGCAGCATCGGCAAAACAGAGAAAGTGGGCGACACAAACAAGTCGCTCGAAAGTGAGGCCATTCAATCCCTGAGAGCCTTGCATCGAGAGGGGGTGATCCACAAGGATGTGCGACTTGCGAACATGTTGTTCAACCCTGAGACCAATAGGGTTATGTTCATCGACTTTGAACGGGCCTTGCTACTCAAGCCGCCCCGGCGTCCGTTGGCGCAGCTGGTGCCAAACAAGCGAGCGTGGAAGTCTGAGATGATGATGGATGTCAACAAGGCGACTGATGATTCAAGCAGACAGATTGGGTCAAGTCAAAGTTTTTCAGAGGATATTTCAATGGCAAAGATGGCTTTCTTTGCATGAAATGTTCCCTGAGGACATGGGTTGGTGCTTTCTGTCTAGGCGACATGAAACGTTAGGCAAGTTAATACAAGGTAATAGATAAGATCGCCAAGCCTTCACAAATCTGAAGTTGGGGAACGTCACGTCGGTGATCATGAGTTTCAATGCCTACTGTACAAATACCCTACTGTACCAATACCCTGATGTATCAGGTCCAGATACACGAAATTGTGGCCCGTGCATCACCAAAAGTCTGTCTCCTGCCCCCCTGTGCCATCGACCAGATGTATTAGGTCCAGATACACGAAATTGTGGCCCGTGCTCGCGACCGTGTTTAGCGGCCGCCTCAGTGGGACGCGCGTCAAGTGATATTGCCGACGAAGCAGCGCGGTCAATGTCGGCTTTCCACCTAACTGCGTTTCGAGCAATCAATCTGTTCATATGCTGCAACATACAGCGAAAGCCTCATGGATGCCGACGACCTCACATTCCTTCGCTCGCAGCAGCTTGTGATCGACCGTACGGCTCTGGTCCTCATCTGCGGCCGCCCCGAATGTCTTACTGGCCTGTCACCGAAGACCCACCAGGTGAACGACCACCTCAATCGAAAACACCACATTCCTGCGGAGGTGCGGGGTCACGAGACATGAGCTGTAACGCTGCGCGTGGGTGTGCTGTGGGATCTCCGAACAGCAGCGGACAGACAGACTCGAAGATTGAAATCATTTACTATTTCGTTGAAGTACGGCAGCAGATTGATCGTGGGTGGGCTGGTCTTGACGTGGGACGGCGCGACGCGAACTGGTGGATCCCACTCCACGTGGCGCCCCACCTGCAGCCATGGCGATCGAACGCGACACGATCCGTGTCGCGTCGGATGGTGTTGAGAGACGACAACTTCGACCGAAGCGCAAGCCGAGCAACAAAGCCATCGACAATCGAGCCATCGACAACGAAGCCATCGACAATCAAGCAACCGACGATGCGACCGACGATGCGGAAGTCACGAAGCGAAGTAAGGGGCGCGGTACCAAATCGACGGTGCGACGACCAACCCCCGGGACCAGTGGAGGGCAGCTGGACGGAAGGACTTTGCTACGCGCTATGGAAAAACAGATGGAACTACAGACGAAGATCATGAGAAAGGTCCTGGAAGAGTCCCAGTCTCAGTCGAGAAGAATTGAGGAGCTCCAGAACGAAGTGGAGGAGCTTAGGAAAGCCCTCCATGCGACCACGAACGAAGCCCAGAGCCTGCGTGCGAGCATCGAAGCAAACACTACGACAATCGCTGGGCAGGATAGGTCGGAGCCATCCTACGCAGACATCGCCCGGATGCCACCGGCCGGCCAACTCAGCAACACGAGGCAGGCTACCACGACAACCCCAACGGACACGCACTTCTGCACAATCGACACGTCAAGGATCGAGGGTGAACAAGATGAACAACTCACACCGGGCGCTGTTCGTACCCTCACGGAAGGCGAGGTTAGGATGGACCAAAGCCAACCTAATTGGCGTTGCCTGGCCGTGACTAAAGAGCCGAAGACGCCTCGAATCAGGATTGCCTGCAGAAACGAGCAGGAACACACTATGGTGAAACGGCTAGTAGAAGCCAAGCTGCCTAGAGGAGCTCGGATGCTGCGAGACGAACTCTATCCTGTTAAAGTAGACTACGTAAGCCGAACGGCGGTCTTGGATGAGGCGAACCACATCCGTAGTGGAGCAGCTGAGGAGATTGGTAAAGAAAACGACGTTTAAGTTGCGAAAGTTGGCTGGCTAAGCAATAGAGACGTTGCGAAGGCCTGCGGATCAATGGTTATTTACCTCACGAGGAGAAGGGACGCGGAGAGGCTAATCGCAGAAGGTTACGCTTATGCAGGAGGACAATCTAGGAGGGCCAAGGTCTTTGAACCTCGTCCTCGTCTCGACCAGTGCTACAACTGTCAACAGTTTGGTTTCGGCCACAAAGCTCACCAGTGCGACCGACCCAGGTATGCGGGAAATGCGCCAAGGAGGGTCACTATCATAGTGCTTGCACTGAGACCATCCTCAAATGTGTTCCCTGCGGAGGTCCTCATGCATCGTTCAGCAGAAATTGCAGGAAGCTGTACCCGTCTTTGAATGAGTAGTACGCTCCGAATGATCCAACTCAATGTGCGAAAACGCGGCGAGGTTCACGAGAGCCTTATGAACGATGAGGACATTCAGGACGCTATAGTGCTGGTCATTCAGGAACCATAGGCACGGATGATCAAGGGACGGTTATTGACGACTCCGATAGGACATCATAGATGGACAAAGATGGTCCCACCAACGACTAGGGAAGGACGATAGGCGATCCGAAGCATACTTTGGATAAGGAAGGATTTGGAAGCGGAATAGGTGCTGATAGAGTCTCCGGACATGATAGCAGCACTATTGCGGCTCCTAGAGAGACTGGTACTGGTGGTGTCCGGTGTACGTGCAGGGGATGGACACCCAGGCATTACAGGAAGCGTGCAACACTATACGTAGTGTGGTCGCGGACGCTAGGAGAGCCGCAGGGAAGGTAGTGGACGTGGTCATTGCAGGCGACTTCAATCGCCACGATCAACTATGGGGAGGAGACGACGTATCTCCGGTACGACAGGGTGAAGCTGATAACATCATCGACCTAATGAACGAGCTCTCCCTCTGTAGCATGCTCCTACGGGGCACGAAGACATGGCAAGGCGGGGACCACGAATCGACAATCGACCTTGTGCTAGTGTCAGAGGACCTAGCTGCGTCCATGATCAAGTGTACGACGCACAGGACAGAACACGGGTCGGACCACCGCACCATCGAAACGATCTTTGACGTGTCAGTTCCGACCCCGAAAGCCCAGAACCGACCTCTATTCAAGAACGCGCCATGGAAGGAAATCAACACCCGAATCTCCACGGCACTCGAGACAGTCCCGATGGAGGGCACGGTTCAAGAGAAGACGGACAGACTCATGTCAGTGGTGCTGGAAACAGTACAGACCTTGACACCGAAAGCCAAACCATCGCCATACGCGAAGCGCTGGTGGACGGCGGATCTTACGCAGCTCCGCCACATCCACACACATTGGAGAAACCGGGCGAGGGCAGCGAGACGGGCAGGGCGGAGCGATGAAGCACTGGAGAACACGGCCAAGGGAGCAGCGAAGCAATACCACGATGGCATTCGACAACAGAAGAAAACTCATTGGAACGACTTCCTGGCCGACAACGACAACATCTGGAAGGCCGCCAAGTATCTCAAGTCGGGTGACGACGCGGCATTCGGCAAAGTGCCACAACTTGTGAAGGCTGATGGCACGCGGACGACCAACGGCAAAGAGCAAGCGGAAGAACTGCTTCCCACCTTCTTTCCGCCCCTACCAGAGCACATCGAAGAGGAATGCGAGAGGCCGCAGCGCGAATCGGCTGTCAACATGCCAGACATCACGATGGAAGAAGTCGAGCGCCGGCTTTTCGCGACGAAATCGTGGAAAGCACCCGGTGAGGACGGGTTGCCAGCGATGGTCTGGAAACAGATTTGGCCAGCCGTCAAGCACAGGGTCCTGGCGATTTTCCGCGCATCACTAGAGGAAGGAGGACTCCCCGACCAATGGAGGCATGCTAAGATTATCCCGCTCAAGAAGCCGGCCAAAGGTGACTACACCATCGCCAAGGCTTGGAGGCCCATCTCGCTCCTCGCAACGCTCGGCAAGGTTCTCGAGTCGGTTGTTGCGGAGAGGATCTCCCATGCAGTCGAGACACACGGCCTGTTGCCCACGAATCACTTCGGAGCCCGCAAACAGAGGTCAGCAGAACAAGCATTAGTATTGCTGCAAGAACAAATCTACGCGGCATGGCGAAATCGTTGGGTAGTCAGCCTCGTGAGCTTCGATGTGAAGGGAGCATACAATGGAGTGTGCAAAGAGAGACTCATTCAGAGAATGAGGGCAAGGGGCATTCCAGAAGATTTACTTCGTTGGGTAGAGGCATTCTGCTCAGAGCGGACAGCGACAGTCCAGGTAAACGGTCAAGCATCAGAGGTTCGGACTCTGCCCCAGGCCGGACTGCCGCAAGGGTCGCCATTGTCACCGATCCTTTTTCTGTTCTTCAACGCGGACCTTGTACAACAGAAGATCAACTGCTATGGGGGGGCTATAGCCTTCGTCGACGACTTCACAGCCTGGGTCGCCGGCCCAACCACGCAAGACAACCGCAAAGGGATTGAAGCGATCATCGAGAAAGCATTGGACTGGGAGCGGAGAAGCGGTGCGACTTTCGAAGCGGACAAGACTGCAGTCATCCACTTCACCCGCTGGGCCAAAAGATCCGATTCGGAACCCTTCACAATCAAGGGGCAGGCAGTCGAGCCCAAACAGCACGTCAAGATCCTCGGCGTCATCATGGACATTGGACTCAGGTATAGGGAACATATTGCAAGAGTAGCGACCAAGGGATTGGAGGCTGCGATGGAGCTGAAGCGACTGAGAGGATTGACCCCGGCGACAGCACGGCAGCTATTCACGGCCACCGTGGCCCCAGTGGTGGATTATGCCTCGAACGTCTGGAGGCACAGGTGCAAAGACCGAGTGGCGGCAGCCATCAGTCGTGTCCAAAAAGTCGGAGCGCAGGCCATTATTGGAGCGTTCATCACAGTAGCGACAAGCGTAGCGGAAGCGGAGGCTCACATCGCCAGCGCACCAGAGCGGTTCACGAGAAGGGCCATCAAGCTATGGACGGACCTCCACGCACTGCCCGAGACCAACCCGCTTCGAAAGCTGACCTCGCGCATCCGAAAATTCAGGCGCTTTCACCGCTCCCCATTCTTCCAACTGGCAACTGCGCTCAACGAGATTCCAATGGAGGATCTGGAAACCATCAACCCATTTACACTCCCGCCGTGGATGGAAAGAGTGCAAACCGTCACCGAATGGAACGACGACGACGCAACTTTGACGCGTGTCGACGAGGACGTTACGGTGCGCATTGCCGTCAGCAGCTCGGCACGAAACGAGGTGGTCGGGGTCGGCGGCATCATCAAGGGGCCAGGGACGAGGCTCGAGACGTTTTCTTTCACCCACGGCATGAGGACCGAGCAGAACCCATTTTCCGGAGAACTGGTGGCGGCGGCATACGCGTTACGATTTCTGCCGCAGCTCAGAGGCCAGACCGTGACGATACTGACAAGCAACAAAGCCGCGGTGCTGACACTTCGAAACCCCCGCCAACAATCTGGACAAGAGTACGTTCGCTGCATCTACGAAGCGGTCACTCGACTTCGAGAGACCGGGAACACCGTCACAGCCGTTTGGCTGCCTAATCATCTCGAGGACGACCTCTTGAAGAGAGCGAAAGGAGAAGCACGCAAGGCCAGCCGAGAGGGCGCCTCACCAGAAAAGCAATTCCCGAAGATGCGGTCCACCACCCTCAATGCTGCAAGGCGCAAACTACGTGTAGAGAGACGGCTACCAGACAAGGTTGGAAAACTCTCGAAGGAAATAGATATAGCCCTACCTGGCAAGCACACTCGAGAACTGTACGACAACCTTTCCTGGATAGAAGCGAGCATGCTGGCTCAGCTCAGGACAGGCATGGCGAGACTTAACGCCTCACTTTTCCGGATCAAGGCAGTCGCTTCAGCCCAATGCGCATGCGGACACGCGAGAGAGACGGTGGAGCACTTCCTCCTCCGATGCACACGATGGGCAACACAACGCGCCGAGATCCTCCTACGACCTGACACACGAAGAGACAACATCTCCTTTCACTTGGGAGGAAAGACGACATCAGATGGTGACGACTGGAAGCCAAACATGAAAGCTGTGCGAGCTACAATACGCTTTGCGAAGGCCACGGGCCGATTGGAGAATGCGTGATCCCTAACAAGGGCCCAACACGCCAAAACCCCCCCCCCTCTTTCCCCTACTAACCGAACCTAACACCCCACTCGTGTCAATAACAGCAGGCGCCGCTTCAGCCGCCGTAGATAGGACTCTGAACACTTGAAGAATAGCCTTCAAGCAGCTTGCCAATACAATCTAAACCCCACGAGAAACCGGCGGAAGGACAGAAGATGAGAAAGTAAGAGCGGAAAGAAGACCTCTAATGGGCTTGGGAGATTTGGACAGACTACAGGAAGCGACTATGTATAATAGCAAATAGTGCCTTATTGGCTCTAGGCCACCAGGCGTAATAAACGTGTGTGTGTGTGTGTACATGGTGAAGGAGAGGCCTTCCCTCCACAAGATCTGCACAGCAGCTGCAGACATGGGCGTGCATTTAAATCGCCTCGTGAACACAGTTCGACGAGGTACCGATATGGTCAAACTGTCTATGAAGATCGATCTGTTACTCTAAAAAGGGGTTGAATGCCGGGTGGTCCGGGTGTTTTTCGTGGGGAAAGACGGCCGACATTGCCGAACATGGTGTTGGGTCACTGTTTACATGTTCACCGACTCTTCGAACGGCAAAGTGCGGCTATATGAGAAGGGCAGATGAGATTTGTGTGGTGTAATGCTTGTCAAAGGAAGCGCAGCTTAAATGGAACGAAATATATTGGATCATAGCTCACTCTTGCGCAAGTTGGCATGGATCATAAGCTGTGATATTGTGCCTGGTCAGCTCATTCTACCAGTCCGATGAGCCTGGTTTCAACCAGTCTCAAATGGTAGTGCGTCACGTAAAGAATGGCAAGGCACCGCCCAGTAGCCCTAAGGCACACCCGCAACAGAGAAAGCCCACTGACAGTCCAAAAATGCCCCCCTGCTCTAAGTCTACCCATGCTGGCAGGGCAGACCGTAAGGCCATCTGGAACCCAACTGCCAGCATGAAGGGAAGACAGCATACCAAGCCAAGAAGAAGATGAAGCCCACTTTGGAAAAGCCGGAAAGGCATGATCATGCTCATCATACATGAACACCAACCCTTGAGAACAGAGACAAAGAAAGTGAAAGCACCGATGATTAAGACGATCCCAGCGATGAAACAGTTCATGATGTGAGGCACGGTCATGAAAGCAAGACCTCTATCGTTTAAAAACTTCGAATCACCAAACGCCGTATTCAACACCTTCAGTCCTTCTGACGGAATGACATCTGAAATGTGGACTGGCAAGCGGTGACAGAACTTGTCTGCTAAATCGCCGACACACATGTATCGTGTTCCGACGTAGAACACCTGCGGGATACCCGGGATGGCCTTAGACACCTGAGTTGCAACTGCGTCGGCCACGCTGCGCACTCGGCTGACCGACTCAGGGATAGCTGTCTTAACTGTGTCTGCGACTCTAGATGTGACGGCATCGATGTTGCCTGGTGGTTTTGGCACTTTGGGTACTTTGGGTATTTTGGGTATTTTGGGTACTTTGGGTGCCTGTCTCGGCAAGATTTCTTGCAGCTGTTGAGATAGGTCAAGCTAGAGGGGATATCAGCACCAAATCCCATACCATCCATATCGGTCCCTCATGAGTACCTTTATTGTCGCGATGCCTGACTTAGCATAACCCTGGGAGAGGCTCAAGGCAGCTAAAACAAGGCAACATAACACACATATGAGCATGGAGACAGCTAGAAAGGATTTGTAGCCACCGGGTTTGCGCATTCGAGCTGTTTGTACGAGCGATGGTGCGTCAGCTCTTGTACCTTTGGTGTTTGTATTGGGCGTCTCTCAAGTTAGAATAATGAATTCAAGGTCAATTACGAATTACTAAAGAGCCTGAGAATAGCTCTTATATGGCTTGGAGCAATCCTAGTACTCGGTGTGACCCTAAAGGCGGCTCGGGTCCTTCAACTGGGCCCCGAAGCTTGGCCCTGAGAACAAACGACGCTGATTGGACAGTGCTTCCCTTCCCCGAACTTTCGCCGCGAAGGCCCCGACTCGTTGTTGGTGCGAATCGCGGCGACGTCAAAATACAACCATTTTGTTTCCCCCGTAGACCTGTATTTCGCTCCCTGTAATCGGAGCCTGCCCTGCAATAATGTCTAACACACTGCGTCGACCTCTCAATATTCATAACCCATCAATACATCGCGGTCGTGGAGAAGCCACCCTGCTTCGGATACCCGCATGCGTTCTCCGCCACCATTGGCTGTGTCGGGATGATGCAGATAACGTCCCTCTCGCCTCCAGACTTTGGCCCCGCTCAAGTTCCTGACACCGACGACGACACCATCAGAGCAACCTGGGAGGACGTGTGGGAGAATCTCAAGATGGCGACGCGCATCATGAAACGCGACGCTCGCCCGTCGCCTGGTGTAGCCTCCAATACTGGCAAATCGACCGTATCCGACTAAGCCAGCTTCGTCGACGCGGGCAAGTCTGTGGGGACCCCCGACAGCACCTTTACCTTTTCCAGGGGGGTCACAACCCGCAGCCCGAAGTTCCCCGAACTTGTCCTGTTTCCACGCGGATTCGTGGTCAATGACACCAATACCATTGTGCCCAGCGCGTTCGCTCATTTCAAGAACGAGCCTCCGAAAGAAGGATACGACAAGTTGGAGGGGCTAAGCGATACCGACATCTGGGTCGGCGGTGGCGACAGCTGGGTCCAGTCAACAACGGACGAATACAAGGTGATGAAGGCGTTGGGTCTATGTGAGGATGAGTTTGCCTCGTTTGCCAAGGAGAAACTTTTGCGACGATCCCCGCGGTCTCTCCTTCTGTATGCTCCAGCTGGTTATTCCACCTAAAGAGAACGCACACTGGCGTAAAACTCCTGTTCTGAATACAACAACCTCCGCCGCGGAGTGATCATGGGATATTCGACCTGACTGCGCATACTGGCTGTCGCTGAAAGGCTTCAACCCGAGATACCGGTTCCAGATACAGAACCGTGTGTATGTTCGCGACCGTATCACGTGCCCATACTTCACGATCGAGTTCAAACGAGACAGCATATCCGAGGACGCAGCTATTGCGCAAGTAGCTGCTGCAAGCTCCATAGCGCTATACAACAGGCACCGACTTTGCGAAGCTGCGCGCGCGGCACGGCCCGAGATGGTTCATGACTCCAGCGTCCGACATGACACGTTGACGTGTGTTGGATCAAAATTCGTTTTCTGGGTTCTCAACCTGCGGGACCACAAGCAATGGAGTGGTTGTACGATGACGAGGCTGACGGGCGCGGATTGCACGGATGCCTACGGCATCCAGGAGCCAGTGGACTGGATCAACGAGATACCTCGTTGGGGTTTGTCAACGCACAGTCGAAGCCGTGAGAGGGACATTAAGGCCGTACTGGACCTGGGTGGCGTACGTACATCAGATGTTCATGAGGGCTTGCGGTACAGTAACGCAGAATCTGTATTAAAGAGTGACCAACATCCCCAGTGAAACTTTGACTATGACTATGAACAACCTTCACGCATCTATCACGGCAATCCCTGCATGGCGGAAGTGTCCCCTTGCGCTTGTCTCCCTGGCGCTGACGACATCAACAGACCACTCTAGGAAGGAACCAAAATCCTCGTCATGTGCGTCCCTGCTGTGTTGCCAGTGACGTTTGGTGAAGGCTTTCAGCTCCGCAAAAAACTCCTCGATGGGATTATAGATGGGCGTATATGGGCTCAAGTACAGAAGCTTGACGCCAGCTGCGGCACAAAGACGGTTAATCTTGTCGAAACGATGGAATGACGCGTTATCCATGATCAGCACGGACTTGGGGTTGGGCCAGCGGCCGCAGTGATGCAGTAGCTGCTCAATGTAATCTCCAAAGACAGCCGCATCCGTTGAGCCTTGGAAAATTTGGCAAAGACCACGCCATCCTGGGCGTACGCAGGCAAAATCTGGTACCTGGCGCCCCTGTGGAGGCGGGCTACTTGGATAGGCGTTACACCCCCCCGAGACCACCCAGGTCTTCTGAGTCCTGCGCGTTTGTCACATCCGGATTCGTCGACGAAAACGAGTTGATATGACGACAACGCTGGCACTTGGTGCAAATAAGAGTCGCAGAGGTCTGCATTCCGTTCCTGGGCCATACGACGGACTATCTTCTTTAACCAGCCTGCCGCCGGCAACGCGGAGCTGATCGTTGAGATAGCAATGCCGACTCCATATTGATTCTTCAAAAATGATGCCATTTCTCCGAGAAGCATGTCGGGTGTTCCTTGAGCTCATCGAGCAGTCTAGTCACCATCAGCGGAGCTTTCTCGGCCGGCCGGCGCGAATCTTGGGGGCAGTGGTGGTTCCGAAGCACTGCAGGTTAGTTCGAATACGTCGCACGGCATTTGGAGTACAGAGAGCAGCATGAGCAATCTCGACAGCTGGCACTTCGCACTGAGGCATGTCGGCAATTAGTCCGTGCTGCGCGGTCGAGAAACGAGGCGCCATTTGGTCGTGGGGATGCAGGGCGTTGTGAAGTCGAGAAACGGGGCCTCCTAGCCTAATGACCTTATCACGTGATGCTACCAGCCCACCAAGACTACTGTATGCATGTCTCTTTTCGCCATCTAACTGACCGTCTCATCAACATGAGTCACAACCAACACAACGATGTCAATACAGTTCCAGAAATAGGCTTGCCCGATGGCTGACTACTGGAGTGGCTGCCTTGCTGCCGCTTCTGGCTTAAAGAAGTATCAATTTCTTGCACGATACGCCCAAACCAGTCATCTTGGGTTTCCTCCCAGCCTTACGGGTGTGCTGCTGTTGTCATCTGCGCGTCTAGAACCCTTGGTGCATGATTATTGGCTCACCGCCAAGTACGGCTGCGCGCGGTTAGCCCCCCCTCCCCCTCACACAGGAGAGTGAGGAAGGCTTCTCGTACCATGATGATGCCAGCAAACGACCTGCACAATCAACTGAACCCGCGAGATCATTTGCTCAAACACACATGTGGATGAACGATGGACACTCGACAGACAGGAGGATGTCAATCGAATGCCGCCGCTACAACGAGACTTCGATTGCTGTCACTGGACGGCGGGGGTATCGGGGGCCTGTCCAGCCTGCTCATCCTGGAGCACCTCATGGAACGCATCCGCGAGCCGAGGGCTTGGCCAAAGTACCACGTCCTTGCGACCGCTTCGACATGATCGGCGGCACGAGCACTGGCGGGTAGGCTATCAAGGCAGTTTACGTTGCCGGGCCATGTTCACAGCCGCAGAATCATCGCCATCATGCTTGGCCGTCTGCGCATGACGGTCGACGAGTGCATCCGCGCGTACCGAACGATGGCCGAGCGGGCCTACTAGCATTCTGCCTAATGAGCACTCATATTAGGACTATTATAATAAGTATAGGTCATCAAGCCGTACAGCCGGGAAATGACATGTTGCTTAACGTAAATCCAACTTTAAACGCGTAAAATCCCATAAAAGCGCTGAATTAAAGTTCCTAGGAAAGTAACTACTTAGCTTGCCTTCGGTATTGGATTGGGGTATTGGATTAGGCGAGACTCCACTTAGTAATATTTCTAAATAGAGGAGGGCTATAGTTAGTATGAATTACTTGCCGAGAGCTCAAAGACACCGTAGCCAGACTTAACAAATTAGAGTTTAATTATATCGTTCGATTTATATCCGGTGAATTCAGAACCCACGAATAGAGTCTTAGTCTACTTTACACCTTTATACTGCAGTGCTTCATAGCCGTTGTTACTGTACTGTTCGGCTTCCGCTCGAGAGTTTGACTTTCATGACCTCGGCAGTATAACCTGACTACACTTCTAGTACGATTCAGTTCCGTCTCTATGCTGACTTTGATGTCTCAGGCTCCTCAGCTTGGTTAGGGCCTTAGTTGGTAATATAAGGGGGTTACTGATGTCAAAATCAACTGCCGAGCTGGCGTGGCCTCATCAGTATAACCAATTTCACTTCTATTACGACTTAATTCCGTCTCTATAACCGAATTCCGGAGTTTAGAGAGTTCGAGCCGCCTGAGTAGTAAGGTTCTATAGGTTTAAGAAAGTTTCGTATTCTGTTTAACATTCGAGGACACAGTTCATCATAGACCGTCCCTTATAAAGCAAAAGACATCTATAAATATGGATAGAATCATCGGGAGTTATTTTTTAATTTGCTTTTCCTAAACCACTACAGCTTACTCGAAGACAATATATTCCGCCAGCCACAATGAAGTTCTCAAGAATCGTTACAGGTGCAGCACTTCTAGCCCGCACATTCGCTATTGCCATCCCGCAATCCGATACCGATCCAACTGAGCAAACGACAGACGCGGCTCCCGACTTGACGCATTTGGTTATTGGACAAACCATAGGGCCTCTCATTGTCGATGTCAGTAGCGTCTTCGAGCTTTACAGGTAAAATCCTAATTATCTAGGCTATCGGCGAACCAATTGCGAGCGAGGTTGAAATCAACGAAGCTTCTGATGAACTCTCGGATGAGAAAGTCGTTCTCAGCCAACCCTCCACCCGCAGAATCTTCAATCTGGTTCTCAAAGATGCATTCGCGAAGTTTGTTCAATGTCCAAAGAATATCAAGTGGGGAGTTATGATGCTTTGGAATCCTTACGAGGAGAATACGGCACACGATGCTCTTCACACGAGAGTCTTGGAAACCAGTCTCAACTTGGTTAAGAAAAGTGGTACTTTCATCGAAGATCATCTAGGATGGAAGCACGTTGGTGATGGATGGATCGACTTTGCAGCAAACGTCCGGTTACATGCCGATTACTACAACTCATTCAAGGAGTCGACCAGCCACATAAGTGTCTATATGGGTATTAAAGGGTCGGTGCACGTCGCTACTAACGAATTCATTATGCGCGGAATTGAGACAGGTCCAACAGTTTGGTATAACGGGATTCGGTACCAGATGACGGATGGCTCCAGCATTATCTCGAGTTGGTCTTTTGACGCAGGCCAGCTTTGATCAGTTGATCCAACCCGCTGTCACGTACTGAGGGGAACAGGGTTTAACTAGATCTGAGGATCTATGAAACCTTCCATGGGTAGATGGTAGGGGGAAGGAGAGGCTTTCATTTCTATGAATTCACGAGTATGAATTCAAATATATCTATGAGGGAAGTATTCAACATACTCTAGTTATAAGATAAATATATTGTAACGACCCGGCTAGGTCGTCAGCAAGACAGCACGTATATGGCTGCTCAAGATACGGGCCAGAGGGCCGTTCCCTGGGTAGCGGGTCTTTCGATAACTATTCGCATTTTCGCGACTCGGGCCTCGGTGCATCTCCATGAAAATCACTTTACATTCGGTCAGATTGTTGCCGTCCTGCTGCTCATTGGACCTACCATGACCGCCGCTTTGACCGCCTGGCCGCTGTTGACACGACGTCGTACGCCTCAGGACCACTAGCGAACCCGTCTAGCCCCCTTTTCATGGCTAAAACAAGGGATCGTTGCTTGGGTGTTACGGGTTAGACTCGTTGACGTTGTATAGGCTTGTGGCTTATACTTCTATGGATGCAGCCCAGTTGAATCAACGACCTTGATTCAACACGTATCCTTTTAGCTCAATTGATAGTTGCTAGCAAGGCACTTACGACCGTGTGACGGCTGCCACTAAGCCCCTTTGGGGCCGACCGTAACTCTGGGCAACATCTTGCAACACCCCCAATACAGATTTGACGCAAACGATCCAATCAACCACGTCACGTGTCATCACAAGAAACCGCTCCAGTTGGCGAACAAGTCCATGAGCTACCAAGCTACCTGGACCGACGTTATCGTGATCGGCGTAGTGGTGAACCTTATCGGGTGCTCAATTGCTAGCATCAGGCATACTACTCTCTTCATGGAACACACCCCCAATGGTCTGGGTTTTGCCGAAGTTGTGGGATTTTTCTATTCGGCTTTGATCATCGTTTTATGCATGGTGCTACTGAATCTCTATGGAGTAGCTACAGTGTCGGGAGAAGACGTTACTGGCAGTGATCCAAAAGGAGAGCCGAACTACATGCCAAGTGTCTGGTTCAGTCGTCTTGGGCCGGGGTTGGCTCGTACTGCTTTTCTTGTTGTTTCTTCTGTGTGTAATCTTCTCCTGCTCACTATAAGTATCACCAGCAGCAGTGTTCGTAATGCCTTTCTTCTTAGCCTGACTGTTCCTGTTGGTCTGCTGTTCATCTATGTAGGTTCTTGCTTAATGAGTTTGATGACGCCTTAGACTATGGTATGGGTAGTATAGTTTGATTTCAGCAGAGGTATTTCGCAATAGAGATTCATGTAGGATTGTCCGTTTCCGTGAGATTTTCTCATGCTAATCCCACTGGTACAATAACAGATTCAAAAACAATCACTGGATGATGAAATATGGTGCCGTACACTAGGTACTGGCGTCCAGGGAATGAAGCAGCCGCTGAACTTTGGCCCGAAACACGGAAATAGAGCTGCTTCGGCCCTGTACACAGAACTTATCACCCTCATGCGAAGCATTTTACTCACACCACCGTCAGGACAAACTGGACGCACATCTTTTCAATAATTGTGCTTGAATGTCCTATTTAGATGCCAGCCTGTCCGTGAAGAGTTTCCTTTGGACATAGGTTTGACGCCAGCCCTCGCGTTATTTCTGGTCCCGCCCTGTTTGGCTGCCCACACAACGGCTGCAGCAGCTTCCACAAGGAAATCCAGACATACTTGCAAAATCATGCCTCAATTCTTCAGACACTCTCTCAAGCATTGGTCAAGGTTTCCCAGCCGACAAAGAGTTTATTTGTCCCAGCTGGCCGCTGATTCAGAGTCAATTCCTCTGTGTAAGGCATGTCATATCCCAAACGACCCGAGAGGGCGAAGAATGACACTTCCGTTACTGTAGATGTGGTGTCAGATGTCTAGTCCTACTACGTCAATAGGGAGAACGGAATAATTCCATACCTGGCCCAAAATAGAGAGATAGTGTCTTTCCAGGGCACAGCCAAGCGGGCTTCGGTTCTCCGAGGTGATATTTCGAATGAAACTCTAGAGCGTACCGCAATCTAGTACCGGTCTCCTCATTGAATAAATTGCGTCCTTGTATTCTCGATGTCTCAGCAACATGACCGATAGAGGCAAGGCCGTATCCTGTGTGTTCAAAGTCTCTGCAAGTCTCCTGGGACAGACCGCTGACGTTGAACACAGACTGGCCCTGCCAGTACGTCACGATTCCAGCCTGCGTACTTGTCGTCGTATCTCCAGGTGCTGTTTTTGGGAGATCACCGTCGCTCTCCAGGTAGATGTAGGCCGACACTCGGTTGAGAAACTTTGTCATGCCAGCATCATAAACGGTCTGGTCGTCAAGGAATACACCGATGAAGATTGCGGCTTCCGCCATGACAAGATCCCAGTTGCCCATGTAGTTTGGTGCGCCATTTTTGACGAGAGGCAGGTAGACATAACGCAGCATGCCCTCAAACTTTGTAATGCTGGCAGCGCTCCAGCCGGCGTTTGAATATCTGATCAACTCTGCGGCGCGGGCCCACGTTGAAGCGACCCAAGCAGACTGCAGTGGCGAGTTTGTGTTGTTGTGTGCTTTGATGGTCGATGCCCAAGAATCCATAAACGTGATAGCCTTGTTTACGTATGCCTGCGTGCCTGTGACTGTCCATGCCAGGGCATTCAAGTACGTCACCATGGCGTCTTCTCTTTCATCCGAACAACCAACGTCAGGTGTGGAGTATGATCCGCACTCTACTGTTGAGACGGGCTCTGGGGCTGTCTTGGAGGCATAAGGGTGCGCCAGCATGGATGTGTATGCTGGAGCCCACGGAGCAGCTGACTGTGATACCTTGGTCCTAATGAGCTCTGCTTGTGCTTCGTCGATGAGGATGCCTGGGTGGACAAAGTTCGCTCGAGGCTGGACGGAACCAGGGAGACCCATGGCCAAGTGCCAGAGGGCACATGAGGATAAAACAATGTAGCGGTGAGGGAGCATCTTTACTATCGAGTTCTGCTCTTGGGTTTGTGGCTTGGGATCGCCGTAACTGTGGCCGAGAGCAGCCTTATCATGCTCCCACTTACTCCGCACTTTGAACGCCTCAGTCCACATTTTGGTGCGAAGTGACGCCTGGGCAGATATTTTGACATTGCGGGCCCGGCCGTTCGTCCGACTCCGAGCACCGGCCGGAAGTACTCACCCACGACATGGTCGAATTGCCAGGAGCCCGATTATCGCACGGATGTTACATGAAGTTGCGTATTGATGGAGAGAAGTAACCTCGCTACGGCGATTCGATGCAACAATGCGAGGTTGAGTCGCCCTCTATCATGAGCAAGATTGGTTCGGGTTTGTGTATACAAATAGTTGTAGGCATCGAAGCTGATGGCAATGATGAGTTCTTACCAGTCTCAGCAATCTCAGTCATCACAATTGCCACGCTCATCATGCTCGTTCCACGACGCAGTCAAAACTGCCAGGTCTCTCTGCGTCTCTGGCCAATCTTGTTGCTGGCTACACTGGCCTCTGGACGTCCATCTTCATACTATGTTGATTGCGGGGCATCCTCGCCGGGCAACGGCACTGTCGAAGGGCTTTGGAACTCTTTCGATGAACCCAATGAGTTCGTTTTCGCACCCGGCGACACTCTGGCTCTCAAGTCCAACGTAACCTGCAAGGGAAACTTGTCTCCGAAGGGGAGCGGCACCTCGAGCCAGCCCATACGACTGACATCGTACCCAATCGACTCGATCTTGGGTCCGCCAGTCACTCATGCAGACGGAGCCAACTCATCACTATTGCTCACGAACCAAGACCACTGGCGCATCACCAAGATTGCCTTCACCAACCCGGCGAGCAACGTTGCCAGGCGCCAAGGGATCACGATCCTCGCCAATGACGGGGGTGTTCATTACGGCATCACGATCGAGGACAACACGATCTATGACGTGGCAGGACAGACCAACAAGACTGGCGAGCTCAGTTCTGACTTTGCCAACTCGGCCGGCATCCTCCTCAGGAGCCGCTATGACGGCGTGGCCGTTCGAGACAACACGATCAAAGACTGCGGCGGCGGCGCCATGAAGATCCGGGCCGGCCAGATCGACAACCAGGGCAGCAACATCCGCGTGTCCTACAACAACATGGACGCCTGCGGCGGCGACGGCATCGTCGTGCAGTACTCCGATGCCCCGAGCCTGGACCACAACGTGGCGTCGAACCTCGGCAAGGGCAAGTACCCCTGGAAGGGAGGCAACTTTGCCGGCATCTGGGTCATGGCCTCGCACAACCCCGTCATGCGGCACAACGTCGTGTACGGGAGCATCATGAGCCTCCACGACAGCACGGCGTTTGACTGCGACTGGGGCGTCACGGGCACATGCATCGTCGAGTACAACTACAGCCACGACAATGCCGGCGGCGCGTTCCTCGACTGCGACGGCTGTGGCGTCTCCGGAGGCGCGAGGCAGATTGTTCGCTACAACATTTTCGAGAACGACTGCCGCATGATCAGCGTGTCGGAGAACTCGACACTCGAGTTCTACAACAATGCCATGTACTGCGCCGACAGGGACTTTGAGCTGCAACTGCCGCAGAACGCGACCAAGATGACGAACAACATCTTTGTCGGGCGTGAGAATGCAACCCTGCCCGTGGCCAGCAACATCGTATGGGAAAACAACCTGTTTCATGGTTTGATGCCGCCCACCGAAGACGGGCACCTCGGCGACCCGCTCTTCGCAAGCCCACGCACTCGCGGAAGCACGCTGGGGGCAGTCTTTGGGTACAAGTTGCGGGCAGGCTCTCCAGCCATAGGAAGCGGCATTGCGATCAAGGACAATGGGGGTAAGGATTATTTTGGTGGAAGGCTGGGTGGTGCTACGAAGCCCAACATTGGGCCCTATAGTGGCAAAGGCATCAATTGAAATCACGACTTTGGATACAGGACCCAAATCAAAGGAACATTGACAGGTCTATACAAGGAATAGATAAATAGGAACTTCACCTGCAGTTCTTGGAGTAAGAATCAAGCACGCAGTTAGCTGCTCTTCGTGTGATAAATATCTGCCTGTGGAAGAGAGAGAGGCCGTGGAATTGATGGCGTGTCACGTCGGTCACCAGGTCGTAGTGGCTGGAAACATTGAAGGCCATTTGTCATGATTCATGGTCATGATGGAGGTGAGCTGATAGCAATTGTGATGGAGCAACTAAACTCAGGTTGGGGGATGCTCGAAAAGAGGCAGAAGGTGGTGAACCTCCAGACTAGAGCATATCAAATGATGGTTTACACAGGCCTGCAGATATGTAAGATATTTGATTGTCTCACCCGACATGTCTTCTTGATAAAGCTACATTCATTGATACTCAGAGGAATAACCTCCTCTTTTAAGACATCGATACTTCGCACTGCCAGGCTGGAGAGAACGGCCCCTTGAACAGCATCGTGCGACGTCTGGCGTGGCCTGTCCAGCAGCTAGCTTCAGGAGCGTGCACAAGCCCGACGCCATGTGGCAGACCAATCACCGTCTAGATAAACAGAACTCACTTCATCAAGTCCTTTTACCTTGCCCTTCTGCCGTGGACATACCAAGCCTCACAACGCAAGGTGGACCGTGGAGACACTTTATATCCTGCAACAACGGACGACCCATCACATACGACCATACCTATTGGAAAACTTGGGATCCCGTCCGCTCTCCCCTAAATAAGCCAATAAGGGCCGGATCAGTAGTTGGGTGGGTGACCACCAGCGAATACCTGGTGTTGTATGTTTTGGACCTTGTCTTTTTGTTTCCTTGGACTATCGAGGAAGGCAGAGGTAGGTGGTGGGTGACGAGTGTGGAGTGCTCTCACATGCCCCTTCACGTTCTCGGTTTTGAAGCAAATGGAGAAGAAACGGGAGAAAAGCAGAAAGTAGGAAGGCAGATTGTCTGTTCATTGTCCTCAAAAGGCTATCTATCCATAACTTCCGACCAAAGCCAACGCTCTAAAATAATCACGGAACCCACCAACTCCAGGCCCTCCTTCGAGAGCCAAATGTTTCCCTGGCATGAATGTCTCCCGCAATGAACCCCTGGCCCGTCCGTTTGGCCCCTTGCTGGGGATGATGCCAAGATACAAAGAGGCCCGAACCCAATCCCTAAATCATAACCTAACGCCCTGCAAAAAAAAAATCAAATGATCAAGATCCTGGCGAGATAGAATCAAAAAGAGAACGGCAGCACTCTCAGCTTGCAAACGAAACTGGTAGCCTCTACCAAGAGAAAGTTGGCCGAGGTTTGTACTGCTGCCGTGAGAAAGGGGTATAGTGGCGAAGCGAAAGATATGGCCGTGTATGTTGTTTGTTCTTTTTTCTAGCGCCAGAGAAGAAAGACTTTTTGTCATCATTTTCGATGAACGTGTCCTGTGCATCGCAGTTTGATAGCCCATATGCTCATATGAGAAACTCCGTCTGCGTTGTGTCCGGACGCTCATCTTCAGGTAAAGAAGCTACTGACGCTTCGACTTGAGCAGCAGCGACTTGAACCACAAGGTAAAAGTTGTCCACGCGCTTTGGGTCTTGCGTTTAGCAGTACGGCCACGGGGTGGCGTCTCAAATGCCACACCCTGTGCGGCGACGCTTGCATAGCCACGGGCTGCAAACGTTGGCACGCTCTTCTCCGACATGGCATGCTGGCTCGTGACAGGGGACAAGCTCGCGCCATGGGAAGCAGCGGCAGTCTTCTTCCTCGTGCGCCGACGTTCTTCCGAAGACCGAGCTCTGCGCGGGAGCTCCTTGAACTCGGCGAAGCTAGCACCGCCATATGTGGACTCAACAGCAGTATCACTGCGGATGAAAGTATGGTCGTCGAGTCCGTCATCGAGAGCGGCGGCACGAGCCTTGATGAGAGCCTCGGCAGCGGCCTCTACCTGCTGATCCCGGGCGTCTGACTCGGTACGGTGATGGTCGCCGCGCGCTCGTCGTTTTTGCTCCTTCTCATCGCGTTTCTGCTGCTTCGCACGCTCCTTGTCTTGCCATTTTTGACGCTCGATGCGAATGCGCTCCTGATGATAATCCGAGCCAAGCTCAGAGCGAGAGCGCAGGCGAAAGCCCTCGAGCAAAGTACGTAGACCCATGGCAGAGGCCGATGTAGAGAGTGAGACGGGAGAGGTCGCTGTGAACGAGTGAGGAGAGAAGGCGGGCGTGCTGCTGGAAGGCGGCGAAGTAGCTAGTGACAATGCGCCGGGCGAGTCGTATGACTCGGAGAGAAGGTTGAGATCAGAGGTGCTCGAGACATTGGCCAGGCGGGAACCTCCCGATACGGAGGTGGAGCGGTTCGAGGTGTTGATGCGCAGGGGGTTCTGGTTGACGTCGGAGAGGGAGGATGTGCGCTGGCTGGCGAGCGAGGGGCGCCTGGGGCTACTGTTGCTCGTGTTGCCGGCTGTGTTGGTATTGGCGGCGTAGTTGTGGAGGTTATTTTGCGAGAGCGAGCGCGACTGAGGCTGGAGGCCATT